TTACAGGTGAACTCGATGATCTCAAAGATCTTTTCCAACCATAATGAGTCTATGATTCTGTGGTCCTGGTGGGGCAAAGCTGGGAGAGTGCCAGGGAGTTTATCCTGTGGAGATGCCCTGTGCTCTCCCGGGGGCTCCATGTCTGTCTCCAGACATGTCACATRGGAGATACTGATTGACCATTCACCACCTGTGGGGGCACTCAGCAACCACAAGTGAGAAGTGAATCCAGCCCTCATTCTCTAATACATCACCTATGAGCTCACTGCATGAAACCCATGGAGATGCATATAAACAGTCTTTGAAGCTGAAAGTCCTTGATCACATTCTTGACTCCATCCATGGAAGGAGAGACCATCTTTCAAGCCCTGTAGTGAGGAAATTCCCTTTTATTAGAGCAAAGCCAGGACGCACACAGCGACAGACACAATCACAGCAGGTATCGCGATCAGACAGCCTGGGTTCATTCCTATAGAAAAGATGAATGAATTTAAAGCACTGAGAGTGAAATAATTATCGTCACAGAATTCCCAACCAACAGAGATGTATGAGATGAACTGGAAACCACTTGTGAACACAGATATTCCCCTTATTTCTGATGAACTAGTACCAGTTGAACCAGCCGAGGTCGAGGAGGGAGAGGTTCAGGARGAAGAAGCACATGGGGCGTGGAGGTGGTGATCGCAGACCATGGCTGTGATGATGAGGCTGTTGGCCAAGACAGCGGCCAGGTGGATGCCCAGAAAGAGCGAGAAGTGCAAGAGCTGCAGCCCTCATGTGCCCGCGAATGGCAGGAGTAGAAACTCGTTGAGGTAGCTGCCATTGGACATTTGCTGTTGGTTCAGAGCACTGTTCAACGAGGGAAAAGCATCAACAAGTTAGAAAGGCTTCTCCAAGCAAAACTCATTCTACTCTTCATAGTACCCCCGAAATGGCCTCTCTCCTTTACCTTGTTCAGTTCCCTTGTGGGACCTCTGCTTTGTGCTGGCTGAGTGTGCCCTTGGGCTTGGGCTCCAGAGCCGTCAGTCCTACCTTTGTGGGTGGTCTAAATGGAAGTGTCAGATTTTCTCATATATTTGATGAGGAGACCTGAGGATGGCCACCTTGAAGGAATGAATGGCATTCAGCACAGTGACACAGCGGGAATAATCTCTTATACTACTGAACGAGTGGCAGCAACCACGACAGCTCTATTTAAAAGAGGAGATCCTTGGGAGTGATTCATTTCCCCCTCACCCCAAGCTGATTCTTTTGTTTGTCTTCACTGTTGCTTGATGCAAGGCAGTGGGAGAGGGAAGTTCCACTACCTGGCCCCATCACCCTGCAACACTTCAGAACTCAGGACATAGACTGCAGCACCTCAGGACAGACCCTCTCCGTCCCCTTCTCCTACAATGTGAAAGGACCAGGCTGTAGGAGAGACGCAGTCCCTCTTCCACCAAGGACGGGGCTCATGACAGGCACCCCATGGCCTTGAGGGCTGGGAGAGGAGACACGGGGCTTTGCTGAGAGGAAGGCRTCTGCTCTGCAGGGACCGACCAAGGCTGATCCAAATCATCCCCTCCCACAGCAATTGCCTTTCTAGATCCCTGCCACTGGCTTATCCGTCTCCACAGATGGAGCTTTTCCTGCTGGCAGCTGCTCCTGTCCCCCACATCTTCTCCCTCTCAGTGCCACAGACCCCATCCCACCCCTAGGCAGTCACTCTGCCCCACAGCAGGATCCAGCAGCAGGACGCAGGCCCGGGACATCTCCGCGTATGCGGGTGGGAGGGACCAGGGTCAGACAAGCCCTGGAGAGGCCAGACAAGGTGGTGCTGGTGCTGTCTGTGGTCAGGGAACAGCCGCAGGCGCTTGCAGAGGTTCCTCACAGATCTCTCCATTGAAAGGACTGGAGCGTCAGGTTCCTGCTATCACCTGGCATGTCCTTTCCCAGCTCCTCAACCAGAAGGACAAAGGAAATGGCCTGATCTTTAATGTTAACATTGCCTGGACTGTCCTCTTCAAAAGGCCCCTTCACAATATGAACCTGCCATCACCGGGGTCCCTCCTCACACCCGGAGCTTCTCCCCGCAGCACAYGGGGGTTTCCCAGGCAGGGTGGGTGCTGACCCTGGCAGGTGGCAGTCACTGCCCTGGGCACACRGCACCCTGGGGCGCARGGACACTGCTCAGCATTGCAGCCCATGCAGAACTGGGGGCACTCGCTGGCTTCACACCCCTGCACCGTCCTGGGGAGAAAGCAGCCGTGATGCCCCGTCCCTCTGACGGTCTGTCTGGGGATCCCTGCTCTAAAGCACCACCAGCTCCAAGCAGGAGAAGTTGGGAGAGCCACCCTGAGACATCCCATCAGCTGGGGAAGGGAACCCATCAGGTTCAAAAGAGCCCTCCAGGAACCACAGCACTCTTGTCCTGCAGCCAGACACTTACCATGTATCGGGCTGGGAAGGTTTCTCCCTCCAAGGAGCTCTCAAATCTCCTCCCATTCCCAACTGTCCTTCACTAATGAGCGGCTCATCCCAGCCTGGTGCCTGCGGGCAGTGCCCTGAGTCTTGGTGCTCCTTTAGGAGGAGCTGCTCCTGGGCACGGCTGTCTCTCTGCTGCATCTGCCAGCGRCTCCCRCAGTCCCAGGAGCCAGGYCCAGCTCAGGARCAGGGACCCAGATGGAGATGGGACTTTCTCTGTCCCCTGAGCAGCCTCCAGGCGTTGCTGGAGCCCCAAGGTTGTGAGAGGGGAAGCTTGGACGTTTTGCCTGRTAAAACACATCAAGGGTTAATGTGGCATCAGAGCCTCCTCTGCCCACCTGTTATCAGTGATGACAATTTTCTGCTCTGATCAGACTTTGGGATAATCTTTACTGCTAACAGCTGTAAGCGTGGCCCATTAAAGCTCACAAAATGTTGGGGGCTGGTTWTGATTTGGAGGCTGCCTCCAAACCCCTTCCCCACAGGAACCAGGGCTGCCCCAGCAGCTCCTCTCACAAGGGGCACCTCACAGGCACCGCCCCCTGCCTGCTGCCAGCCTATCAGCGCCTCAGAGGGACATGACGTCACAGCGCTGTCACACACRGGTCTCTCTCACTGCACAGAAATGGCCTCCCCAGAACCATGCTGAGTTCAAGAGTCCCCAGGCCAGCAGGGACCTGCTGCTGTCCTATCAGATGCTGCGGGAGCAGTGACATCACAGTCACTAGGCAGACCTAGATCCGCTGCTGTCCTATCAGGTGCTGCAGGAACAGTGACATCACAGTCACTAGGCAGACCCAGCTCTGCTGCTGCCCTATGAGGCGCTGTGGGAGCAGTGACGTCACAGTCACTAGGCAGACCCAGCTCTGCTGCTGCCCTATGAGGCGCTGTGGGAGCAGTGACRTCACAGTCACTAGGCAGACCCAGCTCTGCTGCTGCCCTATGAGGCGCTGTGGGAGCAGTGACGTCACAGTCACTAGGCAGACCCAGCTCTGCTGCTGCCCAATGCGGTCTGCCCTCAGGAGGGACCTCACATGCAGTAGCCACGCCCTCTTCTCTGCAGCCGACCTATCAGGGCCTGTGGCAGGCGGGACCTCCTCACGCGCAGCGCAGCCATTGGGTGTCAGCTGCCATGGCAACGCTGCGCCCTCCTGCCCTGGCCGCAGCTCCTTCCCCTGCGGCGGGCGGCGCCATCTYGTGGGCGGCAGCGCGAGGCGTCGCGGGGCCTCGGGGCAGCCGGGCCCGTGCGCAGCGCTGGATTTGGCAGCTCGTGGGAAGCTGTGACGAGCTGTGGAGCCCAAGGCCTTATGGAGACTAGTCTGGGACGTGGCTTTGTCCCGATGTCCCCTCCTGCCTCCCGGCTGAGGATCTGGGGAGCCCTCTGGGAAGGGCAGTGGGTTGAAATGGGCGGCATGGGCCTCCCTTGACACCCCCAAGTGCTGCCTGGGTCGCTGGGAGTGCCCAGGACAGTCCCTCTTCTCCCAGCTCCTGCATCCAGGCCTGTCGTGACGTTTGCCCAGTCCAGTGCCCACGAGGGCAGCAGAGCCCCTTGCAGGGCCGGGATCCCCGGGAACCGAGTCGCTCTTGTGCAGAAAAATCTGTCAAGCACTGAATGTCCGAAAGGAGACAGAGGAGATCCAAAACWTTATTCGAATAAAGGKAGAGTCCACCGGGCACATCCCTGTGGGGTCTCTCAGGTTGCCGGGGGACGAAGCCCCCCTTTTCTCCTGATTTCCCGGCCGCGGTGCCCTCTCCTTTTCCCAGTTGGCCAAGGGACTCAGGAGTCAGCCTGCCCAGCCGCCTGCACYCAGCTCRGTGCCTCCCCGATGTGTCMGCACCTCAGGTCACTTGATTCCTTTGTGTCCCCCTCACTCCAGGCTCCCCGTAGTCTCTCCCCCAACTCCTGGCTCCGCTGTCTCCCACCTGTCGGGGTTCCTTTGTCCTGTTCGTTACAAATACAAACTTACAAACTAGTGGGCTGTGTTCTGCTCTGTGGTGTGCATTCTGCTCAAGCCCAAACTTGCTGTGAGTGTGTTTCCCGCGCCGGAGCAAACGCCCCCGCATTTCTGCAGCACTGTTTACACGGGGACTACCCGGGACGGCCCGCCCCGAAGGGCGCATGCGCACGCGCCCTGCTCCCGGGCACCGTCCCCGCCGCTGATGTAATCGTCGCCCAGGAGGGGGTTGCGCATGCGCACGCGCCCTGCTCCCGGGCACCGCCCGCGCCGCGGACGTAATCGGCGCCGGTGGAGGGGGGGGTTGCGCATGCGCACGCGCCCTGCTCCCGGGCACCGTCCCCGCCGCTGATGTAATCGTCGCCCAGGAGGGGGTTGCGCATGCGCACGCGCCCTGCTCCCGGGCACCGCCCGCGCCGCTGACGTAATCGGCGCCGGGGRGGGGGGTTGCGCATGCGCACGCGCCCTGCTCCCGGGCACCGCCCGCGCCGCTGACGTAATCGACGCCGGGGAGGAGTTGCGCATGCGCATTGCGGCCGCCCGGGGCCCCGCCTTCCGGGTCCCGTCCCTCTCCGGTGTCCGTCGCTGTCCCGTTCCCGTCGCTCTCCGGTTCCTGTTCCGCCGCCGCCATGAGCAAGCGGAAGGCCCCGCAGGAGAGCCCCAACGAGGGCATCACCGACTTCCTCACGGGTGGGTGTTGGCGGTGGCGGCGGCGGCGGCGGGCGCGCGGCCTCGGGCCCCGCTGACGCCTCTTGCGCCGCCGCCGTCCCTCACAGAGCTGGCGAACTACGAGCGCAACGTGAACCGCGCCATTCACAAGTACAACGCGTACAGGTAGCGCCGCCCCGCCCCGGCCGCTGCCCGCCGGGCCCCGCCGCGCCCGCGCCGGGCCTCACGAGCGCTGTCCCGCAGGAAAGCGGCCTCCGTGATCTCCCGGTACCCCAGCAAGATCCAGAGCGGCGCCGAGGCCAAGAAGCTGGTGGGTCCCGGGCGGGCGCTGGGCGTCGTGCGGCGGCACCGTGAGCGGCCCTAACCTCTTCTCTCCCCTTAATTGCGATGTCGAGGACGGAGTAGGGGCCAAGATAGCGGAGAAAATCGATGAGTTTCTGTCCACGGGGAAGCTGCGCAAGCTGGAGAAGGTGAGGAGCTTTGGGGCGCGCTCRTGGCCACGCCAGCTGCTTCTCCTGGCGCTCTGCGACGTGCTCTGGTCGCCCTGCGAAGCGTCTCYGGGCCTCTCGAGAGATGGACGGGGAACCTGCGGAGAGTAGAAACGGGGGCCCGAGGAGCTCAGCTGGTGCTTAACAATTACTTTATTTCGGGAAGTACTTGCGATTATTTCATTGGCGTGGGAATGTCTGCTCTGCAAAACGGAAGCCTGGAGCCGGAGAACTGGAGTTTCGGGTTTTAAAGGTGCTGCTTAGCTCCGCATAGGGAACTCGAGCGGGTGGTTTCGGGGCAGGTATGTGTGGCCTTGGTGTTGCGCTCACCCTGCTCCTGTTCTGCTTGGATTTATTGTCAGCCTCCCGAGCAGAATGCGAGCAGGCGGGGTGATCTTCGGCAGGTTCTCATCTTTATTGCAAGTGCATTAAATACGGGATTGCTTTGTGTCTTTCCAGATTCGTCAAGATGATACCAGCGCCTCTATCAACTTCCTGACCCGAGTCACTGGCATTGGGTGAAACTTCTTTATTTTGCCCCTTATTTCTCCCATTTCCTCGCTCTTTGCCCCTGCCCCTGATTTAATTTTAAATGATTAAATGTCACTTCRTAGTTGTATCAGTGATAAAAATTGTGCGCACCAAGTTCTGCATCTGTTCTGAAGTGATTTTAGCCCTGCTCTTGAGGAATGCAGCGGTCTAATGTTCTCTTTGGTGTTGTGAGATTCTTGCTGTTTCTGATTGCGAATTGCCTGGTCCCTTTGCAGTCCTGCTGCTGCGAGGAAGTTTGTAGAGGAAGGAATTAAGACTTTAGAAGGTACGTGTCGAATGTTGCAATGACTCAATTCACATTCCACCAACTTTCCAGCTGCCTGTCTCCCAGCACTACTGCCAGAGTATTAGACCTAATTTTCAAGTAAATGTATTTTAAAATAAAAGTATCTCTTTTTCTATTTTATTGCATGTGCTTGGCTTCCCTCAGTTTTGGATGGTAGGACTGCTACTGTAAAAATTCTACTGTTTGAATATTTTTTCTTTGATTATTATAGATCTAAGAAAAAATGAACACAAGCTGACCCATCACCAGAAAATTGGGTTAAAGTAAGTTTTTTGCATGCGAATTCTTAGCTTTTCTAATGACTGCTTTTGACACTAGGATGTAAGGTACCATCTCTGCGCTCTGCATGCTTTTTGGTGGTCCAAATCACAGAATAATTTGTATTTTTTTTTTTTTTATCATGTGCATATAATTGAGTGAAATCTTCATGTTGCTAATGCCTCTCCCTCATTTTTATGTTTATATATGCAGATATTTTGAAGATTTTGAGAAAAGAATCCCACGGAAAGAAATGCTGCAAATGCAAGTAAGAAAGTCTTGTGGAGGACATGAGGCAATAAGCATAAATAAGGGACTGACATCTTTTCTTTTTCCATAGGAAATCGTGCTGAGAGAAGTAAATAAGCTGGACCCAGATTATATTGCCACAGTCTGTGGCAGTTTTAGACGAGGTTGGTGCTTTGGGGTGTTTGCTGAGACACGGGGATGTTTGCTGAGACGGGGATGACACAACTGGTTTTGTTTGAAGCCAAAACTGTGTCTTCTTCGGTCAGTTTTCCACAAATGAGCACTTTGTACAATAAAAGCACGTTTACAAGAAGAGGCAAGTGAATGTGCCTTGAAGTTAGCGTAGTTTCTATCAGGCATAGAGTAGCTAGGCATAGTGGTAGGCATAACGCTCAGCTCTAACTGCTCCTGTCAACGTGAACAGCAGGGTTTGCACAGGGACCCTTTCTTCTTTCCTTCTTTCCTAGGCGCAGAGTCAAGTGGGGACATGGATATTCTCCTAACTCATCCAAGTTTCACATCTGAATCATCCAAACAGGTAAGTTTATCTCTTTTGAGGAATCAGTGCTGTACATTACTCCCAGAAGGGCATCTGTAAATATCTACGCAGTCTTATGCTTGTATTGCAGCGTTTTGAGACTTGGTTTGTTGTTGCTGTTGTCATAATAGTAAACTACTCCCTTTGAGCAATATGTTTTTTTGAGGAGTTACAATCAGTTCTTGCACCTGTATATCCTGCTATGCCCTCTTGGCAGAGCTGTTTAGTATGTTTACTCTTATCTGTTTCTCCTTAGTCAAAACTCTTGCATCAAGTGGTAGAACAACTGGAAAAAGTTGGCTTTGTCACAGATAYGCTGTCTAAAGGTGACACCAAGTTCATGGTAAGGATTTTGGGGATGTGAAGRATGCAGTGGGATAACGTCTCACGACAGAAGCTGGGAGTGTGTGTGAAATGTGTTGTTTAGATCCTCAATTTCTTGCTTTCCTTGCATGCTCACAGGGTGTCTGCCAGCTGCCAAATAAAGAAGATGGAACAGCCTATCCACACAGGAGAATCGACATCCGGTAAAGCTAAAAACTGCTCTGGCTGATACAGCGTAGGCATTTCTTTGTGTTGTGCTTTCTCATCTCTAATTTCACAAAGAGAACATGGCATTTCCTACTCTTCTAAATTCCTCTGTGTAGCATAGAAGCTGCTGAACAGCTGCTAGTCTTTACATCAGGTTACTAGAAAGAACGCAGGTTTTCAACTCATGAATGCAAAACGGGTTCCTCCATATCCATTTTCTGAATTATAGCCTGCTTTGTCACACTGCTGTGACAAGAATTCTTCACAGGAATGCAGGCAGCAGACCTTAAGCAGTGGTTGAACACCAACAATGTACAGCCCAGAGCAACTGTGCTGCCTTTGATACGTGTCTCGTTCTGGCATCAGGCTTCTCAGAAAATGAAGTGTAAAAGAACCCARAATGTGTGCTGTTTAAATGGGCAGTGAATCTGGAAGAATGCCTGATTCCCCAACGATTTGTAATTTCCGAAATCTCTACTTCTTTTTCACTCTTGTTTCAGGCTCATTCCGAAAGATCAGTATTACTGTGGAGTACTATATTTCACAGGCAGTGATATATTCAATAAGAACATGAGAGCTCATGCTCTGGAAATGGGCTTCACCATCAACGAATACACAATCCGCCACCTGGGCGTCACAGGTCAGTTCAGGCCTTTACACAGCTTCTTTTTTTTCTAGYTATATCTTCGGTTTGATCCTTTTTTTCAGTTTTTCTCAGTCTATTGGAAGAGCACTGGATACTGTAGTTGACCTAATGTTTTCACTGGGTTCTTTCTGAAATTGGAGAGAGCTTTATTGTTGACCTAAAGATTGGGTCTTTTGTTTTCAACAAGATTTTCAGTGCCCTTCAGTTGTTTTTTTTTTTTTTTTTTTTTTTTTTTTTTTTTTTTTTGAGGGGGTGAGGGGTGGAATGAATGGGCTGACTATATTCTTGCTCGTTTTAAAGCACATAGTCCCAAAGATAATTGGCAGCAGTGGTAGTTGCCACCTCAGCCCCTTTGGGACGGTACGCGAAGATCTGTGGTTTCTGTGCAAATCCAGTGGGTTTTCCGCAGTTTTTCTAAGCCTTTGCAATGTGTTTGGCTCGCAGGAGTTGCTGGGGAGGCCCTCCCCGTGGAGTGTGAAAAAGACATCTTTGACTACATCCAGTGGAAATACCGAGAGCCAGAGGACAGGAGTGAATAACTGCTTYTAGTACCTTATTTAATGTATGTACAGCAGGTTGAGGCATCTGCTAAGGTTGACTGACCTGAGTTTCTTAAAAAGTCACGTTCTTTCATGCTAATTTCTGTATCTCCCTCCAACTTTGTGTGTAAACCTCCCAGGGCAGCAAAAACTGAAGCAGTTTTTCTGTCCCTTTCTAAGTCCTTCTATCATGGCCATATGTGATTGTGACACCCCCTCATCCTGCAGTGTGTGATTCACATTCTTTGTTCCTAGATTTGCTGTCGTATTATCAGTTTGCAGGGTTAACTTCCTGAAATGAAGTAGCTAATTAATCTCTKACAGAGCCTCAGGATGCCATGGGTTGCTATTTTTAAAAACTGCATATCAAGTGAGTCAGGTCCATGGATTACAGACCTGCGAGCCTGGAAAGCAAACCTCAGCATTAAGCTCTTTTCTACATAATCAGCTCCCCTGTTGCTAATGCTACAGACRTTTTGGGGCAGCATAATGTTCAGAGCTGCTGGCAGGAGGGTTTGCATCTTTATTACTAACAGGCTCCTCAACCTGCCTGGCATTGAAGACTGATGATACCTGTTTTCCCCTTATCTGGATGAGGTTTATTCTTAAGGTTTTATTTGCTCATACGGTCTCCAGTACCAAGAGTGAGTGACATTAAGTATGTAAGATTGATGCTTTTTGCCCTTTTTTTTCCCCCTCATCCCCGGGGGAGTGGTGCTGTGTTTCCTGGCCTTGGTGCTGCACCCAGTGCTGTGCAAGGTGCCTCTGGTGAAGGGGCACGAGGTGACGTCCTCCCCGCCCTCCCAATAAAGACCCGTAACCAGCGCACCGCGTGGCTCCTTCACTACTGGGMCTCGCAGCGTGGGCGGGTGGGATCGCCCCTCGCCCACAGCAGCGGTGTAGCCCGTGTCGGRGGCCGCGGGCACCCAGGGCTCCTGTACCGCTGTAGCTCCAGCCTGGCCCCTGCCGGCGCCTCCYGCCGCCTCCCCTGCGCTCTGGGGCCAGCGGGGTGAGGAAGGAGCGGAGCGGGAGCGCCCGGGCACCGAGCGGCCGCTCCCTCAGCTCGCGCGGCGGCGTGCGCATGCGCGGGGCGGTGCCGGCGGCTCCTGCGGGGAGCAGGGGCGCATGCGCGGGGCGGTCGTTCCTGCTCCTGCGGGGGGCAGGGGCGCATGCGCGGGGCAACGGCGGCGGCTCCTGCGGGGTAGTGGTGCCTGCGGGGAGCAGGGGCGCATGCGCGGGGCCGTGCCCCCTCCTCCCCCCGCGGGGCGGTGGCAGGGGCGCATGCGTGGGGCGGTGGTGCCTGCTCCTGCGGGGGGCAGGGGCGCATGCGCGGAGCGGCTGTGAAGCCTGTGGGGCGGGGGGCAGGGGCGCATGCGCGGGGCGGCGACCCCCTGAGGGGAGCAGGGGCGCATACGCAAGGCGGCGGTGGAGCCTGCGGGGCGGCGGCAGTGGCGCATGCGCGGGGCGGCGACGCCTGCAGGCGGCAGG